TTTATTTAAGTATAGGGAAAATTTTCCAAGTTTGAAAATAGTCATCGATACATAAAGTATACCATCAAGGTAGGAAAAAGTTAATTAATTAATTAGTAGATATGAAAACCAAGATGGTAAGGCCTTTTGCTTGGTCGCAGTCTCCTTTAGCCTTATAGTGTTGGGTCGACCTTGTTGTCACAACTTGGCCGTATTGCCAAGGCGACCTTGAGGAACGTGCCTAGTCCTGTGTCCTCTGTCATAGTATTCGTGATTTTGAGCTTCTGAACATTTACTTGGTTCATTCCCAAACATTTCGCCGGCATAATAGACGGCATCGTCAGTAGGAGGCTCCATAATTAGCATAGAGTTACAACTCAAAGTGACAAGCCAAGTCAATCACCTTGACCTATTTTCTGTTCAACCTCTGAGGCATCCTTCCTCGCCCTATTTTTGGTTCTACCTTCTATTGCTGCATCTCCTTGTCCCAACCAGATTTCATATGGCCAATCTACCTATTCATACAATTTTGTGCGCCGTCGTGCTGATCAGTTATGGTATTGCTCTTGATTTATATGACCTTAAGAGACCCTACCAGGCTTCTATCCACAAACTAAGTGAAGCTTATGATACGAAGAGGAATAAGCAATTTAATTGAAGGTATGAAGACCAAGATGTTGTGGCCTCTGGTATGGTACGTTTGAGAAGGTACCAAGTCCACTGTTTGATGCTGGGAATCATAAAAACTACCATGGCAGACGACTTCGGACTAGGTGTGTTCTACTAAGTCACCCTGACAAAAATACCAAGTTGCGACAACGAGGTCAACACACTTCTATAAGCAATTTAAGTTTATAGATATTAAGCCAAAGGTCCGGCGTGAAATGGCCAGGATTCTGACTCTAAAAGACTTTCCAAAACTTCAGAGCATGACCGACAGGAAATCACGTGGAATCTCTGATTTGATAACAAAATGGCATGACGATAAATTACGTGAGTTTAGGATTATAAGACAACCAAGTCAAAGCCAGTACGCCCAGCTGAAGTCGCTTTAGAGGTGACAACACCTACTCATCAGCACGAAGATCGGAAGAAAGTAGTAAATTTATCATCATTTCCTCCTAATCCCGAAACAGCCACGATCCTGGAAAAAGGATTTAACTTTTCACTTAAAACGACATAAACCTTCCATGAGATAACCTGGTGGAGGTTATCAATATATCCTAAAGGTTCCCTGGAGAGACAAAACGGGAAATGGAGATGGAACTAATTCCAAAGATCTTGGCAAATCAAAAACCAGCAGACAGGAACAGACTTGCCAGGATACGCAAAACCCAGGAAACAACTGAACAATTAGTCCTTCGGGCGGATAAAGGAGATGCGACAATGATAATGGACAAACAAAAATATATCGAGAAGATGAAATATAATCTACGAGAAAGGACCACATATCTTAACTGACATGCTGAAAGATATTCATATGAACGGGAAAATCGACACATGGACAAGAAATTCAATCATAAAAAAGGATGCACGACCACCAACAGCCTACGGATTACAGAAGGTACGCAAAGAAGGCGAACCACTAAGGCTGATAGTAAAGAACAAGTATGGAAGAACACACGAATCGGCAAAGTTCATATGTTTGAGAATCAAGAAATTAAATGACAGTTTATCAAACACGGTAAAGCATTCATATGAATTTTCTCAAAAAATCGAAACAGACTTATTGGTAAGTTTCGATGTGAAATCCAAATCCAAATATCTCTAAAGAAAATGACCCAACGGCCCCGCTGGAAATTCTGGACCAAGAGGATGATATCCGGGAATCACAAGGGATCAGGACTAATCAACTTGACAATAAGAACAAAAAATTTTGCATTCACCGGGACCATCTATAAACCAATATTTGAGCTTCCCATGTGATCGCCGCTCTCACAACTTTTGGCAAACGTATAGATGAACAAATTAGAATAGAATTTCAAGATGTCACCGCTATAACCAGCAGTGTTCATGCTGTACCTGAATGATTACTCGACACGTTGGTCACATGGAAGAGAAAAACTGGATGAGTTTCTGAAGTTCATAAACAAGATTGATGAAAAAATTAAATACACGATGGAAGTAGAGGAAAGTAAGCGATTAGCTTTCCTGGAGGTTGAAGTGATTCGCTCTAATGGGACGCTGAAGAAGAAATTGTTCAGAAGAAGTCTTATGCCGGGATAATACTCAATTTCCAGTCCCATAACAATTACAGGCTAAGAATATGAATAATGAGGGCGGATGTGAAATTCTGGGATGAAGAATTAGAAAATTGGCTATGATTTCCGGTGAGACCACACCACGACATCCTTTCCACCAACTTTCCCTTCAAAATAAAGAGTCATGCCATAATATTTCATCAAGGAATTTTTCGAAACCCAATTTTTCTTCATATCTCGAAAAATTTGATTGTTCAGAAGTTTACTGCATAGTATGCGGCGCCTGCGAACATAAATATAAAGGCAAAAGAGGGAGAAGAAATAGCACATGTATCAAGAAACATCAAAGGCTCTGCAGGAAAATGGGTACCGAAAGATCAGAATTAGCGGAACACATCGAACAGACTGGACACGAGATCAATTGAAATGCAACAGAAAGAAGGGCCTCATAGAGCGAAAACAGAAGGAAAGAGAAGATTAGGAAGGCCATTGACATACTTGAGGGAAAAAAATTAATGAACAAGAGATTGTAGAAAGGTAGAGTTAGCGATAACTTTGCCTACTGCTTAAACAAACTCGGGGAGAACAAGAATACAGCAAAACCAGCAAAAAGGAGACGCATGGATTAAGGATCTATCGCGATGAGAAAAAATAGGGGGAAATTTCGGAAATCATGCGAATAAGCTATCAGTGAGTGAGTCTGCTCCAAGAAACCAGTACAATTGTGGGGGGCTGGCAGTAAGGGTACTAGAAAAAAGAAATAAACACAACCGTCCCAGAAATTCGGCATTGTGGCCAAAATGTACAAGAAATCCACTTGAGATGCAGCAGGCGACAAGGACCAGGGATAGGCGTCCATAGTTTTTTCAGGTAACGCGGGTTATCGTGAAGGAGACGACCCGTGTCGGCAATGCCTAATATCTACAAGCATGGGAATCAGAGCCTAGGCTTTCTGCTCGATGAGGCGGCAGTGTAGGTGCTTCTAAGGCCTTCAGAAATAGCGCCTAGAGTAAGACGCAAATTGGGACTGGGACCGTGTGAAATCGGTTAACCAGAATGATAAGAAACAGATGTACAATAAGATATTCGAAGGCGGATCCTACCAGAAGACGACAGCGGATTTCTCTTGATCAGCTGTCGATTGGCTTTACTGGAATTTTTTTGACGCTGTTTCTGAGGTAATCTCCTTAGATTACTCTGAAAACGTGTTAAGATTTCGTCCATCGTATGATGGTCATCCTCAGAGCAGGGTATCATCCTTACAACCATGTTCAAGCTAGTCGATCAAGAAAACTCCGAATCACTTTATACCTCACCAAAGGGTTTAGATAGAGAGCAAAGATACAGCATTTAAGGATGAAACGGAGAATTTTTTAACTCGTTAGCTTGAATATGGTTGTAAGAATGATACGTTGCCCTAACGAGGTCAGTCATTCGACGGACGAAAGCTTTCCACGTTTTCACTAGAATCGAAGAAGATTACCTCGAAAACGGCGTGAGATCGACCGTTGAATCTCTTCAGCAAACGCTTACATTCGAAATGGAAATAATTACGAAACGAGCGATTCCTCTAAACCCAACTTTTCTTCTAATAAACTTAAATCAATTGGGCTAGGACATAGTAATATGTTATTCTTAAATCAGAAAAATTCTCACAGAATTTTCAAAAAAATTATTTTTGAGTATCCAAATCTGATAAATCTATAGTTATTTTATAAAAGAAAACTCATGCATTCTTAATAAATTATTGTATCTGCCTGATAAGAGACTAAATAGGATGTTAGGCCTCTATATGTAATTTTACTATGTAATAAGAAATAAAAAGTTAGCCAAGCATGCAGTCTAGTTTTTAACGACAGATAAAGGACTATCAAGTGAATAAACCAATCATATCCTCGGATTTGTTACCATTGCTAAAACAACTTCGCCGTTACATTTTAGCGCCATTTCACGCAGTCAAAAAATGGATAGGTTACCAATTTTGAAATTAAAAGCTAGCGAAGAATTTAAACAGTAGCAATAAAAAATGGGATTCAGTAAATGATGTCTTGGTAGCAATTACTCACCATTATGGTCGAATAAGGAGGTAAACGCATCCCTCAGATCGCGATTTGTTTGTGTGATCACGTCCTCGCGAACAGAATCACATCTGAAGAATGAGTGAAGTTCCATTATGCAGCGATATAGAGAGTTACCAAGACGTGTGGTAGCCAATTGATAGTTCTTTGATTTCAGACTGGCATCGTCCTCCAAGAGATTAAGAGTTACAACGCGAGTACTAGTCGTTACTGTAGTGACTCTACAAAAGGGGAATCTTTTAAAAGAATAAAAAATATACTATTTGAGTATTGGATATATTTGTTCTCATCAGTGATGATCATATGGAAGACTGTAAAATGCTTGTTGCTTTATTTTCGGCTTGCAATAAAACTGAAAAATGCATCAGTTATAAAGAAAGGAGTAAAAAACCTAAGCTATCAATAATAAATCTAGCACGTGCACTTAATCTCCGTGGTGATCGCACTTTCCTTGCTGGGGAGTTAGCAGATCAATTCGCTCTGACAATTAAATCACTCCTTTACCAGCTTACCATAAGTAAAACGGGAAATTATAAAAATTCGTCCCTTTTATTTATTTTTGTATAAATATATAAAAATATATTAATTCCATACATTTCCAGGATGATTCCTTACAATTGTATACTAAAGTCCAGAAGAATTGGACTATTAGACTTAAGAAAGATCAAGATAATAGCCACCCTAGGTGCATAAGTTGATTTAGTGATAACATATTGAAAGGACGTGAAGAGTGTTATAGCATTTTTAATAGAGGAACTTAACTCTTATAGTCTTTGTTGTCCATTAGTTTAGGTTGAATATTTAGCATAAATTAAGCTGAGTTAAATAACACTCAATTTTACTAAAGTAAAGAATAAATGAAATAATGGGAGATATGAAGACCAAGATGGAGTGGCCTTTAATATGGTCGCAGTCTCCTTTCGATGTATAAAAGTGGGTTGACCTCGTTTTCGCAACTTGTTCGTGTTGTCAGGGCAAGTTAATTGGATGCATCTTACCCGAATCCTATGCTATAGTAGTTAACATAAGTCCCAGTGTCGAACCGCTGACTTTGTGCATTCCCAGACGTTTCGCTGGCATTGCCAATGAGTCTTGCCATTCTTGGCACCAAATTATAACTTGTCAAAGAGAAAACAGAAGTCAATCCTTTGACTGACTATGCCGGCAAAACGTCTGGGAATGTACTAAGTCCACGGCCCGACGCTGGAAATTATGACAACTAATATAGCAGAGGACTTCGGTTAAGGAATGTCCAACTAAGTCCCCGCGACAGCACCACCAAGATACGAAAACGAGGTCAGCTTACTTCAATAAACGTAATAATCTATTCCTCGTTTACTTTAAAATCTACTATGCTGATCGTGGTATCTGGTATGCTTAAAAAAATAATTTTGTAATCCTTATTGGAAATGCACATAAATCACATAGATCAGGCACAACTGGTCTGTAATATATCTGAACAAGTTTTTAATTCGAGTGAAGAACCCAGCAACCAATTGGCAGTGCCCAATAATTTTGCAGCAAACCAACTAATTAGCGAATGCTTTAATTGCCTTTTGTCAAGAATAGTTAGTCTTTAGGGTATACATCTCTACTCTAGCATCGATTTTAGTTCACACTCTTTAGATTTAAGTCAGAAATTCGAACATTAGTTGAATGAATGAACATAAGATGTGGGAAATTTCGACTGAATAAATAAGCGCGGCCGAATGACTATGGCTTATTAAAATTATAGTATAAACCGCAAAAAGCTAACGAATTAAAACAAATGTTGTACCTGGCCTTTATAACTTGAGTTAAACTATCATAAAAGGAAGATGATATACAGGGCCTTCAGGTCTTGCCTCTTTGACGAGTTGTAATATGATGCTACGAATGGCAAGACTCACTGACGATGTCGGAGAAACATCTGAGAATGTACTACGTCCACAGCCCGACTTTGGACATTATCATGCATACAATGGACTCCAGACTGGGTGCGTTCATCTAGCTCTTCTAACCAATATGACCAAGTTGCGAAAACTAGGTCAAAAAACTTCTATACAACGAAAGGAGACTGCGACCACACAAAAGGCCACACCAGTCTTCATATCTTCGCTTAGTTTGTAAAATTAACTGTAAGATGATAAGCAGAATCATTTTTGTATAAACATTCTAGGAGAAAACGTGTGATTGGATCTATTGAAATCTGTTGAAATCTCCCATACTAGATGCAATTAAACTGCAGCATTCAAAAAGCTGGGTTCAAATGTAGATGCGGTCATTCCAACGACACGAGCTGGTGTTGTGCCAATCAAAGTAGATGTCAGGCTACACTGTCGACCTCTCATCTGCTTAAGGGTTATATAAGGAATTAATCCTGAAGGAAAATTTTAAAGTTTAGGTCGAATTACAAAAAATCGTCGTTCACTTTTGATTGTCAAAAAAACATAAAGTGAAAAATTATGGATAGCTCAACACCAGTCGGAAAAACAATACGAAACTTAAAAACAATGATAATATGACTCTATAGTAAATTATTCGGATTCCTCAGACAAATAAAATATGTAGGGAGTATATATTATGAGGTCTTTATTGTATTCAATAGCTGCATATAAGGAAGAGTATAAATTTGTTTATAATCTATCATTAATATGATAAAAATGTAAAACATTGAACTAGTATGGGTGGATAAACTCACATTTGATCGCCTGACAAAGATACTCCTGGGGCTAGTATTAGCTGACTAGTCCTCATTCTAGTGACTTTAAAATAAATCCTCAGCATAACGGCCAGTTTATTTAACATCGTGTATTTTTGAACGAATCTCGCACAGATCGTGTAATGTTTGGTAGACGAATGTGACTCGACTCGCTTTGGCTAGTTTGGGACAAGCATATTTTACATAAGCAAAGGACTATGAGATTAATGCTGATGTAGCTTAGCCCTTTGCAACCAATGAGATGGGATAAGTCTGAATGAAGACAGCGATCGATGGCGAGAACCGAGAGATCCCAATTAATACCATTCTAACCAGATTTGATATTGGAAAAAAATTATCAGCTTCGCAGTGAAGCAAAGTAAGTTTGGTATACACTGCCCTGACCCAATATTTACATAAAACAATATGTATGTATAGAACTAGTTTGACCTAGTTTTCGCAAGTTGATCATATTGGTAAGAAGACTTAGAGGAATGCACCCAGTCCGGAGTCCTTTGTATGCATGATAATGTCCAAAGTCGGACCATGGACGCAGTACATTCCCAGACATTTCGCCGGCATTGTAGTCAGCATTGTCACTCTTAGCACCACACTACAACTCGTCAAAGATACTTTGACCAATTGTCGTGGTATTTCTCCTTCCGCCCTGGGCTAATCACCAATCCTCTATCCCTGTATTACACCTTCACTACTCGCTTATTACTCACTTACTTAAATGTTGTATGATGTGCCCTTTTAAGAGAATGTCATGGGAACTCCCCACATCCTACGCTAGCCGCTGAGTAATACTCATGGTCAAGCCATTGCTTCATGGACCACGTCTATGGTAGAACAGGCCTACAATCAGCTCACTAGCTCTAGTCTCCGCCGTGTCTATCCTGTTTCTATCCTGAACTCCAAGCCTATGACTTGCTATGCATCACAAATGTTGTAGTACTGCTTGCTTTGATTAGGTTCAATGTTGAACCAAAACATTTGTGGGTTGGCACACAAGAGACAAGGGCATAGGAAGTAAGAGGCTTGGTATTCAGGATAGAAACAGGATAGACGCGGGGAGACTGTTTTACGATAGACATGGTCCATGAAGCAATGGCTTGACCATGAGAATTACTCAGGGGCTAGCGTGGGGTGTGTTGAGTCGCCATGACATCCGGTCAAAAGGGCACATTTAAATAAACAAGTAAACAATTGTGATAGTGAAGGCGTGATATAAGAATATAGAATTGGTGATTAGCCCAGGGCGGAAGGAGAAATACCACGATCGTTTAGCCGCCAATTGGTCAAAGGATCGGCTTCACTTGTCTCTCTGACGAGTTGTGGTATCGTGTTAAGAATGACAAAACTCACTGACGATGCCGGCGAAGCTTCTGGGAATGTACCACGTCCACAGTCCTACTCTGGAAATGATCATGCATGCAAAGGACTCCGGACTAGGTGCGTTCCTCTAAGTCTTCCTAAAAATATGATCAAGTTGCGAAGTCAAGGTAAACAGCTTCTATACATCGAAATGAGACTGCGACCACACAAAAGGTCCCACTAGCTTGGTCCTCATACATTCAATATGTATTTACATTTGTGACATTTGTCACTTTGAAAGAGAAGGTAGATACAACCCGTGTGGCCTACCCGTGTATCCTTTAATTTCCCCATTTTGAAGCATGTACCTAGAGGACAATATTCGATTCAGGATTAAAAGCGAAAAGTATGAGTAGGAAAAAGGTTTTTAGAAAGGGATACTCCGTTAACTGGTCTTTAAGAAGACTGTTAATAAAGTCAGTGTGAAGGAGACTGAAATTTAGAGATAGCTGCTACGATGAATTTAAAAAAAATATTTAATATGCATAATCGAGTCTCCACGTAGATTTATCTTGGATAGTTTGAGCGTCGGCACCTATAGACATTCTGATCCTGCATCGGGTCGACCAGCTGAACGGTAAATAGATAATGCGTCCAAACAGATAAATGTATGAAATCGGGATGGTGTTAGACGTTGGCGATTCGTTTGTGGGAGTAGAATGATCCAAAAGGCAAACCTTAACACCCGGAAGGATCAGAATTGCGGTCAGATTCAAAAGAGGCGATCTACAATGTGCATTACGATAACTCTGCAGGGTCCGCCTGTTTAAAATCAATATTTTCAACTGCAAGCCAGCACAAGAGGCCAAAATGTCATAGAACAGAATGGAAACACAGTATTATTCGACTGTGGGAGAGTGATACAATCTCAGCGAATTGCCAGAACGAGACATATCCCTGATGTTAGCCCGGCCGCTTCCTTGCATAGAATGCAGAAACGCAGAAGAGGATAGCATTAGTGATAGGGCTCAAGAGAGCATATTCGGGCAACATGAAAGGTTAAAAAGTGGTCTAGAGGTAGCATTAAAAGTATAGTCATATTTGGAGAATCCAAGATTAGCCTAACCTTTCTATAACTTGTCCGGTAGTTGAGCACAAGCAGATGCCCTCCGGACCCACTCCGATGAGGATTTTATGATCAAATATATCCTTTGCCTCATAGAAATGCGTCCCATAAGATGTCATATCCATGTAGACCAGCCGCAACACCTCATACTGCGAATGTGCCTTGGTAGTGCCCTCGAGATCGCGGTGAAAGCTTGCAGCCATCCGAACGGCCTCAGGTGGGATCTCGTCTCGCCGATCGGGCCAAAAGCAAGCGTACTTGCAGGGTGTGGTCACGGGATTGTAGTCTCCAAACTGTGCATGCGCCATCAAGGCGATCAGATGGGCCTGCAACTCAAGAGACGTGTCGGTGTCCCAGAGGCCTTGCTTCAGTTGCTGCACGATGTTGATAAAAAATTGGTGCCTATACAGAGAAAGGAGAATAAGGACTCGACGCGAAAACCCACGCATACCTTGTCTCCTCGAGGAGCAGAGTGTGAGGTGGCACGTAGAACTTCACTCTAAAGTACAGCTTGTAAGGCTGGCCGCCGGGAATCTGTTTAGACAGCCGGTTCCTCGTGTTCACCCAGAGCAGTTCGTTCTTAGGGCCGAAGTACTGCAGTCCGAAGTAGTCTACCTCGTCCATGATGCCGAGCAGCTTGCAGATCTAAAATCATTTGGGTTAGGCAAATCATAAGGCGAATCCCACCTTTTCCAGCACCTCCTGTCCGTCGGCCTTCTGATCAACCTCGACATGAAAGACACGGCTGTTTGCCAAAGTTACATAGGAGATGACAAGATTTTTGGAACCAGCCAAAACCTGGCTGTTGTCCGAAGAAGGCCTTGCAAGACTCCAGCCTCGATGTGGGACGGTCGTCTCATCGGATTGAGGCGCCTGAGAAGCCATGCTCCCGGCGAGGCAAGGAGCCAGGCCAAGGGGAAGCCGAATGAAGGCGCGGAGGAGGTTGGATCGCCCTCAAACTTACACTAGCCAGAGCATCAGGCGATAAAGGATTGCTTTCGCGTGAAGCAAATCGGCTCAGCCAATCAGACGGCCACAGAAAAATACAATGATCTATTCAAGGTCATTCCTTCTGCCCTGGTCAGCTAGCTGATTGGACATAATGTTGCATATCGATTGTCTGTCTAAATTTTCAGGCGCCCTCTATGCGGATTGGCGACTTGATGTGCCCGCTTTCATAAATCGATTTTTCAAAAGGCAACGCTTCATTCGAGCCCGAAACGATGCCCTGCCACCAGCCGGGCCGGATTGCCCGTCAGCATAACGAAATTCCTCGGCAAATCACGTGTTTGCGCCGGTTTTTGAAAATGTACATGTGCGCACCAACGGGCTCAGGCTCAACGACATGCAAGCCTGACTCAGCCAGATTACGCATAAGACACGAAGATGGGTAGGCGTATTTGCAACGACTATTTGCGGCAGTTAACGCAGCACCGTCTTCATCTGGCCACTGCCAAGCGTCCCTCCTATAATCCACGCTTTTCCCGCCCCCAAGACGAGTTTGGAGGCTGGGGTTCGATGGCCGAAAAACTCTAGAATCCCGGCTCATCGCTTCAGCAAGCAGATATGCGCCAAAACCGACTTTGCTGGTCCACAGAACTGTTTTGATGTAGTGGAAAAGTATCTACGGGTGAAGTGGAAGCTCGTCGGCTCGGCTTTTGTGGTCGGCTTCTGGGCAGCCTACCTGTTTGTGGCGGCTTTCATTTCGTATGAGCGTACAGGATGAAGAGTTTCATTGGCTCATGTCAACGGACGACGACGACTAATCCTCGCTGTTCTGCGATCGCAAGTCAACATAACTTGAAATGGATAAAATAACTGGAAAGTTTTGCAAAAATGACTTCCAGCTCGGGTTATGTCCATCATATGGCGGAGGAAAGTATGTATTTCGAGTAAAAGTCCTTTGTGTAGAGATTCAAGGCTCATTCACACCAGAAGACGACTGCGGACTCGTCTTGACCGACTGTCAATCGGCTTTACTGGAACATTCCGGTTGAGGCTGTTTCTGCGGCAATCTCCTTCGATCCGGTGACAACATGCTAGACTTTCGTCCGTCGTATGATGGACATCCTCACAGCAGAGTAGCATCCTTACAACCATATTCAAGCTGACAAGCCCACATAAAGCTTCTCCCCAAATACCTTATAACTAAGCTCCTTGATCGGGTATAAAGCGATTTGGTTAGTTCAGGCTACACGTCAACCTCAAAGAATGGGAGAGTGTCTGTCTGCGTGTGTTTGTGCACTTTCATGTGTTCGTATATTTTCGAAAACAGCAGTGATAACTCCAAGTAATTAGAAGAAGAAAGTAACGTCTGCTCTCGGCCATCAAAAGGTTGATGACCATCATCACCTCATTTGTATATATATTTTTACAATTAACAAAAAATACTTTTTTAAATGATTAAGTAAGGAGAAATAAAAGGCCGTAGATCTTTTTACATGCCTTCTCTTTGCCTTCAAGCATTCTTTTCTAAAAGGTAGGCAAACTGGTGTGAAAAGTAGTAATAAAAACGAATGTCAGGGAAATTACGACACTTTCTTTAATTATGACCACTTTTAGAGAGGACAGTGACCCATTATCCAGATCGAGTTGCTATGCTATAATGTGTTCATGTCATGCTGAGACTGGCAAGACTCTCTGACGATGCCGGCGAAACGTGTGGGAATGTATCAAGTCCACGGTTCGACTCGAGAAATTATATGCAAACAAAAGTTGGGTTTCAATAAATCTCTTGTTTCATAATTGTTGAGCTTACTTCCATTTCGAGTAAAAGTGTGGAGTGAAGAGATCCGAAGGTCGATTCCGGCAGAAGACGACGACGGATTCCTCTTGACCGGCTGTCAATTGGCTTTACTCGTTGGCTTGAATTTGGTTGTGACGATGATACCTTGATCTGATGATGTTCGTCAAATGACGGGCGATAGCTTAGCATCATTTCATCGGAATCGAAGGAGATTACCTCGGTAACAGCGTCAGCATACTTGTTTCCGTAAAGCCAATCTAGAAATTATAACAAACGCTATGGATTCTGGCCAGGGTGCGTTCTTCTGGGTCTTCCTGTCAATATGACGAAGTTGCGAAAATAAGGTCAAACAGAAGTGGGTTGACCTCGTTGTCGCAACTTGGTTTTGTTTTCAGGGAGACCATGTAGAACGCACCTTGTCCGAAGTCTTCCGCCATAGTAGTTGTCATGATTCCCAGCATCTGACAGTGGACTTGATACATTCTCAAACGTTTCGCCG